ATCCTGTAGCAAAAAAAAAAAAATACAAAAAAAAACCTCTCTAAAAAAAAACAGTTCACCGCCATCTGTAGGAAACATCACCTCATCTGCCTCAGTGTATGGCTTTCCAACGTAACATGTCGACTATGTCTGAGGTGACTGCCTCTCCAGAAAACGGAGTGGACAGAACGCTTTTGAAATAAGGATCTCAGGAGACACTGAAAGTTGACTAGAGATTTAGGTATGGTCTTGTCTTTTCTCTGCCAACTGCAATTATGTTTTTCAAGCCTGAATGGCACACAAGTTCTGACAGCCATATTAATTGGTCTAACCATTGAAAAGAAATATTTAGCCATAGACTTCTGAAGTCCAAAATATGTTCATTGATTTAATCTACTATCTTATTCCAAAGGCCTTATAAAGATCTTTATTAATTCAAGAAAGATACTTCCTTCATGACAGAATCTCCAAAGTTTTTACAACTTTTTCATAAAGTATTTTGTAGTCAAATACATTATTACAGTGAGGACCAAACCCATGGCCTGGTGGTTACGCTGAATCCCACAGGGACAACAAGGCAGTTCACATCCTGGACCCATTGGCTTGAAAATACACCAGGTACATTTGGTTGCCTGCCTCAAATATCAAAAGGATGAAAAAATGGAGGATAAGGGATTGTGACATGACCACATCCCTTCAAGGGGTCCTTACTTGGTTTCTCTCTCTGTCTTTTTCTCTATCTCTCCATCTCTCTCTGGTAAACATAAGTGCCTTCTAGCAATAGTAATAATAACAAAAAGAAGTTATTGTTAAGATCCAGAACAAGAGATGCCACTTCACTTCAACATATTAGGCTGTTGGGAAAGTCATGATTTTTTTCCCCATATTTTCCTATGCAAAAAATGTGTCATGCTTTCCCAATGACCCAAGGTTACTGAAAACTTTAGCCAGAACAATTAGACAACAGAAAGAAATAAAAGGCATTCAATGAAAGACACGGAAAGAAAGAAACTAAAATTTCCCTGTTTGTGGACATTATGATCTTTTACATAGAAAACCCTAAAGACTTCATCAAAACAAGTTAGAACTAATTAACAAATGCAATTGAGTTGCAGGATACAAAACTCAACATACAAGTATCAGGAGTGTTTCTATATACTAACAGCAAACTCTCTGAAAAAGAAAACAAGAAAACAATCTACAAACCAATCAAGAATAGTTTTACAAAATTATATACTTAGAAATAAATTTAACCAAGGAGATGAAGGGGCGCTACACTGAAAACTATATATTATTGTCAGAAGAAATGAAGAAGACAGGGAACCAACAGTTAGTGTAATGGCTGTGTCGCTGGACTCCCACGTGGTCGACCGCGGTTCGTGTCCCAGACCCGGTGGCTTAAAACCCACGCTGGGTGTGTGTGCGTGCGTGCCCAAGATCCTGAGAGGAGAATGGAGGAGAAGGGATTGTGGCGTGGCCATCCCCTCTGGGGGTGATTTCTTGCTTTCTGTCTCTCTGTTTCTCTCTATCTGGCAAGCGCACGCGCCCTATAGTGAAAAACCTCTCAAAAAAAAAAAAAAAGAGAGAGAGAGAGAGAGAAATGAAGAAGACACAAATGCATGGAAAAATTTTCCATGTCCTGTGGATTAGAATTAATATTGTTAAATATCCATAGTAGCCTTGAGTCAGCAGATGGCATAGTGTTTTTGGCGCTGGACTCCTACATGGTCAAATGTGTTTTGAGTCCCAGACTCGGCAACTTGGAACTCACACTGGGTGTGTGTGCATGCCCAAAATCCTGAGACAAGAACGCATGAGAAGGGAATGTGTCGTGGCCCTCTCCACCCCATCCCTACAGTAGGTCATTTCTCTTTTTTCTGTTTCTTTCTCTTTCTAAGTCTCCAGTGAGTGCACACATCCTATACTAAAAATTTCTGAAAAAAAATAATAACTCATGCTACCCAAATTGATCTACAGAGTCAATGCAATCCCTATCAAAATACTAATTACAGTATTAACAGAAATAGAGAAAAAACAATTCTAAAAGTTGTGTGGAAGTTAAAAAAGCAAACCTAGATAGTCAAATAAATCAATCGACAAAGAACAAAGGTGGAGGCATCACACTCCCTGACTTCAAAATATACATAAAGCTATAAAACCAGACAGCATGGTACTGGCATAAAACCAAACAAATAGACCAATAGAAAAAAACCCATGCAAAGATAGCTGTGTTAGTTAATAATAACAGAAAATATTTGAGTCTGGAAAATTATAAAAGTAAAGATTTATTCTATTCCTATTTTGAAAGTCCAGCGTTCCGAGATCTAGGAGCCACATTGGTAGGAGTCTTGCAGTTGAAGGCAAAAGTAGAGCAGAGTGTTTGTGTCCGTCAGTCTCGTTTCTGTTCTCATTTCTGTCCTCATAAGCTCACTAAGAGTCAACCATGAAGCCCTCACTCTTATTAACTTAACCCTAATCTCACAAAGGCCTCCCCTTTCAACACCATAATCAAATTAATTGTTCACTTTCTTAATCTCATCAAACCAAATCTCAACACATAAGGTTTTGAATGACATTCAACCCATAGCAATAGCCAACATATTTTCAACAGAGGTGCCAAAAACACACAATGGAAGGAAGTCTCTTCACTGAATGGTGTTAGGACAACTGAATATCCAGATGCCAAAGAATAAAACTAGTCCCTAAGTTCATGACATATTAAAAAAATCAACTAAAAATGGATTAAACACTTAAATGTAAGATCCAAAACTATGAAACCACTAGAACACTTCAGAGCTGAGAAGAATCTGAAAAAATCACTAGCTGATTTTAGGTCTATTTTAGGTATGCAGTTCATTTTTTTAGTCACAAGGGGGAGCTGCTTCATCTGCAAACTCAAGTTTTTTTCTGGGAGAGGAAAGCTAAGCTTGGGTTTCCCACTGACATTCTACAAAAAAAAAGAAAAGAAAAGAAAAGAAAAAGAAAAAAGAAAGAAAGAAAAATGACAGATTGTCATCCTCCTTAGATAACTTGTGCTTTATTATCTCTTGCTGAGTATGTTTATGATTTCAGGGCTTGGGGGCCCTAAGGACACTGGCTTAAGTCCCTTCCCAACACCTCCCTTCACACTGCTTTCTCAGGTTCCCTTCTCTAGTCATCTCTTGTCTTCTGTACTCCTTACATTCTTTTTTCTTCCTCCTCTTTATTCCTCCCATGCCCATTTGCTTTCCCTGTTCTCTTTCCTATCTGTTTTAGCGACCTTGGTGCAAAGCAGCCAGAGCAAGTGTAAGAATGAGCATATGAAGGCCATCTTTTTAAGGAGGAAGAGAGTGAGTGTGATTCATATTGTTGGCCACTCTATTAAGAACAGAGAAATTGAGAAACGTCTACCCAGGTGGCTGTTCATGACTCCGGGACCTCCGTAGGAAACCCGAGTTCCATAGGACTTAGCCTTCAGACTCAATGATGTTTGTTTTCCCTTTTCCCCTGAGCATCTCACTTCCTATTTTGAGAATTCACTTCCATTTTCTGGAAGGTATCATGGATGGAGATTTTCATCTACTAAGAACACGGAACAGAACACAAGTTTTGGGGATTAAATACTTCCTACAAATTCCTAGGAGCATCAGAAACATATTTCATACCTTGAAGGAGAAATGATGGAAGGAAGATTCTGCATGACACCTCCTTCAGACTGATTTTCTTACTTCGGCCAGAGCCACCCGAGAGAACATTAATTTATTTATTTTGAGTGAAAAATTAATTCTCTTAAATTGAGAGAGGTTAGAAAATAGACTTTAAACTTTGTAAATGACTTCAGTGGGCATCCTCTGAATTGGAGATGTCTAGATGATATCCTCACCCTCTTTTGAGGGAAACGATGAAACCGGAGACAAAGACCTTGAAAAGAAACTGCTCTACCATTGGCTGCTGAGATCCTGACCACAACACAGAGATAGCTGCACTGCTTGCAAATCTTCACTAATGCTGTTGCTTCTGTTCTCTGGGAGAACTTTTAATCTAGGACCAGACACTAAAATTGAACTCTGGATCCAGGGTTCTACTTTGTCCTTGAAGCATGAGGCTGGTGACAGGAGTAGCTGTGTTTCTGACTTTGGGTAAGTATTCTGCATCTCCCAAGGGCCCTGGAGGGTTGTTTTCTCTCCACTCCTCTCCATGAGCTTTATCCAGCATGCTCAGTGTATAATTTGACAACTGATATGTGCATTTGCTTAAGGTGTACAAAATTTCAGGGACCAGCAGTTAGCGTAATGGCTATGTCGCTGGACTCCCATGTAGTTGACCACGGTTTGAGTCTGGACTCAGTGGCTTAAACTCACACCAGGCGTATGTGCGTGCATGCCCAAGATCCTGAGAGGAGAATGGAGGAGAAGGGATTGAGGTGTGGCCCTCCCTCCTGGGGGGTGATTTCTTTCTTTCTGTCTCTCTTGTCTCTCTCAGTCTGTCTGGTGAGCGCACATGCCCTATAGCAAAAACCTCTCCAAAAAAAAAACATTCCACACGACAGGTTAGATCACAGCCATCATCTCTGAAGAGCCCTTAGCAGTATTTAAGTTGTAATAAATCTCTGGATGGGGGACCAGCAGTTAGTATAATGGCTATGTCTTTGGACTCCCATGTAGTTGACTGTGATTCATGTCCCAGACCCGGTGGCTTAAACTCATGCCGGGTGTGTGTGTCTGCGTGCCCAAGAAACCGAGAGGAGAATGGAGGAGAAGGGATTGCGGCATGGCCATTCCCCCTTGGGGGGTGATTTCTCACTTTCGGTCTCTCTGTCTCTCTGTCTGTCTGATAAGCACAAGCGCCCTATAGCAAAAACCTCTCCAAATAAATAAATAAATAAATAAATAAATCTCTGGATGGATTGAGCCCAGGACCTATGGACTAGAGGCTATGTGTTATTGGCACATATCTTAGAATCTCTGTAACAGCAATGATATTTCTGCATTTCGCAGCACGTAAATAGTAACACTGGAGTCGGGGTAGGCACAGAGATAATTATGGGAGTGGCCTGTGATCCATGGGATTACATTGATTTGGGAGTCAGGAACTAATATGACTTTTTTGATCCCTTAGCAGCTCTCTCTGATGCCAAGTCTACCCAGCCCGACGCCATGGTCTGTGCTGAAGGAGAAGCTGTAAACCTGCCTTGCAACCACTCTTCCATCAGTACAAATGAGTATATACACTGGTATCGGCAAGGTACCAGACAGAGTCCACAGTATCTAATTCACAGTTTACAAAACTCTGTGACCAACGAAGTGGCATCTCTGACCATTGCAGCAGACAGGAAGTCCAGTACCTTGATCCTGCCTCACGTTACCCTGGGAGACACTGCCGTGTACTACTGCACCGTGAGAACGCACACTGGGACAGACGGGGCTGCACCTGTGCAATATCTCCCTAGTGGCAAGTGCGTGTGTGTGTGGGGGGGAAGGCAGCATATTCAGAACCAAAGATCAATAGGAGTCACAGAGTAATCAGAAAAGAGAACAATGAAGACAAAGGAAAAAGGAAAATGGAAAAGGAAAAGAAGAGAAACATGATGAAGGTCGAAAAGACAAGCCATAAGCATTTTTTGTTGATGTGGCTGAGAAGAATAATGTGGCTGAAAGGGCTAAGAATGATCATTTTGATGTAGCAATAAAATGAAGAGGCTTATGAATTTGGCATGACTCCTCCTCATGTCAATAAAATGTTTGTTGCAGTGTGTTGATCTTGATGAAAAGAGTAAGGAAAATCAAAATAATTCTGCTTTTTGGAAAGGCTTCTTTCTTTTGGGTCCAGGGGCAAGCCCAACCAGTGAAATGCATACTATTGTTCCAATTAGCAAAAATCAAACTGATCTTTTGTGAGAAAAGTCTGAAGTAGTCCTTGTTGCTAAAATAGAGCATACATATCTATGATAAAGAGGTTTACGTTTTTGTTTTGTTTTGTTTTGTTTTTTAAGTGAGGAACAAAAATTTATTTTCAACTTATTCATTTGTCTTGAAGTCAGGAATCTATAAAGAATTTTCATCGTATTTTGCTATTTCACAATCAGCACACATCATCACGAGACTTAGTGTATCAGTGAGAGCCCAAGGACATATCTCCTTCATTCCACGCTAGTCTCCACCCCCTTCTCATTGAACAGCGGTTCTGATGCTTTAAGGTATAGCAGATAGCTTGTTTTATTCCAATTACATGTATCTTTACATATAATTTTATGCAACCAAATACAAATTTATACCCACACACACATACACACACACACAGATTTGCCATGTAAATTGGATTTACTTGAACTTTTAAACTTGCCTTTTATTTTTAATTTATAAAGTGTCCTAGAAATCTTTCTACATCAGTAGCAAAGTTCACTTCTGTTTAGAAGGTGCCTCATTAGTACTTGGGAAGAGGGCTTCCTTTAACTATTAATAGTTCCTTCTTTATCGACGGCCATTTGTTTCTATCTTCTCACTGTCATAAAGGATATTGTGTCCTATGTCTTTGTAGAGTCCCCTTTGTATGTTTTTGAACATGTCTATTTTAGTGAGGTTTCTGAAATAGGAATTTTTGGTCAAAGGAAACGTACATTTAACATTTTTGGAGTAAGTAATAATTTACTCTCCAAGTGGTGTAAATAATTATACACCAACCAAGAGTTAGTGAAAAGATTTAATTTATATTCTTGAAAAATGAGAATTACTAACAGTTTTGATGTTAGCAATCTAAAGATATTTTATCTTTAGGCATTTTTCTGCTTCATGGTGTTTTGAGCAGCTTTTTCTACATGTTTTGGCACTTTGTCATTTGATTTTGGTCATATGTTTATTCCTAGCTTTTCACCATTTGTCTATTGGATTATTTTCCCTTTTCTCTTTATTTTAGACATTATTTCTACATATTAGATAATACTATGCTTTTATACTTATATTTCTTTTTATTTTATTTTTAAATGTTATTGTTTCTAGTTTTATGTAGTCAAATATATCAGGTATTTATTTATTTATTTTTGGACTTCAAAGGTCTATGTCCTTTTAGAAAATCTCTAAGTATATCATTTAACCTTTGTAACCATTTAGTGAAACAATAATCATCCTAAGAAGTATATTAGGTAATTAGCACATTGGGAAACTGGTTCTCAGAGAGATTTAAGAACTTGCCAATACTTACAGTGTTAATAGGTTACCATCAAGTTTTAAATTTATTTTTAAACATGAGGTTGTCAAGCACTAAAACCTGAACACAGATTGTTCAACTTCGTGTTTCTGGAAGCAATAACATAAGACCCTATAATAATAATAACATAGTGCATAATGGAATGGATCATGGTACCATCCTAGCTACATATGTTAGACCAAAGTATCAGGAATGTTAGAATAAACATTGTGAGTTATTAGTTGAGAAAATAGTGGTCCTTAGTCTTATAGGAAGATAGTAATAGACTCCTAATATTAAGTTGGTAGTCGAAATATATGTAATTGACTGTGGAAGAATTTTAAAGCATCCTTAGCTCTTTATTGACCATACATCATTCCCTGAATGCAAAGGATATTGAAGAAATCAGAACAGAAAGCAGAGAAAAAAAGAGACAGGTGTCCCATCGTTGATGTATCCTCTGTATCTTGAATAGTGCCTGGAAAATATTAATAGTAAGCACTCAATAAGTATTTATTGAAAAATAAGTATTAATGGCTTAAATTTTATTGGAAAATGCTGGGAATACAACAAAATCATAGAAAATACTAGAAAAAGCTCAAGGATTGGAACCAGCAGTTAGCATAATGGCTGGACTCCCATGTAGTTGACCGAGGTTCGAATCCTGGGCCCGGTGGCTTAAACTCACGCTGGGCGTGTGTGCATGCATGCCCAAGATCCCAAGAGGAGAATGGAGGAGAAGGGATTGTGGTGTGGCCATCCCCCCTGGGGGGTGATTCCTCGCTTTCTGTCTCTCTGTCTCTCTCTGTCTTTCTGGCAAGTGCACACACCCTATAGCAAAACCTCTCCAAAAAAGAAAGAAAGAAAGAAAGAGCTCAAGGATATTACATGGATATCATAATATAGGCAGGTCTATATTCCAGAACCTTTGTCATTCACATAGTCTTTAATTCCTTCCTTCTTTCTTTCCTCTTTCTTTTCCTACTTTCTGTATCTTTTATCATAAATATGAAGTAAGTCCTAGTGTATTTTGTCAAATTTTCTTTATGAAATTCCAATGAATTCAAATTCAAAATTCTCTTTGTAGATCATGCTAAGTGATATGTTTTCCCTATCTATTAAAATTCTTACACTTCGTGTTTGTCACAAAGTATTTGGCACTGGATGTCTGAATAGTTGCTGTTCAGGAAGATGATAATGAGAAGAGAAGTAGAAAAAAGCAGGGCAAAGAGGCATGGCTGTCAAAAGCACAAAGATAAGAGCATGGATGGTACTGAGAGGTGAAGGGGATACTCTTGCTGCAAATAATCCGAGTCGTTTATAAAATTAACAGACAAAAGAATGTCAAGTTCTCTGTTTAAAAAAAAAAGAATAAATTTAAGACTAAAAAAAAAAAAAGAGGGGCCGGCAAGTGGCATGGTGGTTAAAGGGCGCTGGACTCCCACATGGCCGACCATGGTTCAAGTCTCAGACCTGGTGGCTTGCTTTCTCACTTCCTCTCTCTCTCTCTGTGTGTCTCTCTGATCAAACTGGAAAATAATAATGATAATAATAATAATAAAGTTAAAATAAAATAATTTTTTAAAAAGTCTTAAAAAAAAGAAAAAAGAAAAGAAAAAGACCAAGACCAATAATGAGATAAAGAAAGCTACAACAGTAAGGATTCAGTTAAGATATGTCATTTAGTCCTTTGGTTCCTTTATTAACATTTTCTTTCTAAGAGGTTTATCAATGTTTAAAAATTATTTATCTATTAATAGTTCTTTTTATTTATTTGTTTTTAAAATAATTATTTATTTTATTTGATTTATTCATTCTTTTTTTGTTTTTGTTTTAATTTGATCAGAGAGAGACAGAGGGTGAGAGTGAGAGAGAGAGGAAGTGAGAAAGCAAGCCACCAGATTCAGTATTCGAACCCTGGTCAGCCATGTGGGAGTGTCCAGTGCCTTAACTACCACACCCCATGTTGGTCCCTATTCATTGTTCTTTTTAAAATTTGCTATAGGGCACACATTGTCACCAGAGAAAGCCAGAGAGAAAGAGAAAGTGAGAAAGCAAGCTTCCAGGTCCGGGACTCAAACCATGGTTGGCCATGTGGGAGTCCAGCACCTTAACTATTACGCTATCTGCTGGCCCTCATTTTTAATTTTTAGAAAATTTACTATAGGTGTATACATTCACTGGGGTGGGGTGGCCATGGTGGTAAGGGATCACAGTGGTAAGAGAAAGCACACCCCAGAGAGGATGGCCACACTGTAATCCCTTCTCCATTCTCATCCCTGGACTTTGGGCATACATGCACACATGTCTGGAGTATTTTTCAAGCTACTAGATCTGGGACTAAAAACACATGGGTAGTCTTACGGACTCCAGGTACCTTAATCACCCTACCACCGACTGGCCTAGAGCTTCTTATCTTTTATTTTCTTAATTATGACACTACATTCAGTCTTCAGTCATATACCTAGTTATTCTTAACCCACTTTTGTGCCTTAGCAGTGACCTTATTAATTCCCAATCGTGGTTCAATATCTTTCTTTTTATAATGCACATTCTTTGTCTGACAAGCAAGGCTCAAGACAGTTACACAGGAGTGCAGATTTGTGTCACTGAAACATGTTATTACCTTCAACACTACCTAGACTCAAGTGTTGCTAGGAGGGTAATTCTTTTTTCCTAGGATCATCTTCCACTTCCATTTCCTCTAGGTGCTATTTCAAAACTTCTCATACATGTCAGATTTCCTAACCAGAACCTCCATTCACTCACTTTCTTGGGAGATGCTTAATTTCTAAGAACAAAAAAGATCTCATTCTAAAAGTAATCAATGTTTCAAATTTCTGTATTTACACCCCCCTAACAAGTACTTAAATCTAAATCAAATATTTCCTCCTTCATTCTAGTAAAACATTTCTTCCTATCAAACTTGTTCCTTCTACTGTGAGCCATCTTCTAATCCTATGTGTCTCCTCAGAACTTTTATCAATTGCTTATAGAGTCTTTCAAAAGCGCATGTAAACATAACCCAGTTTACATGCATTATCACTGCCATTACCACTTTGGCATCTTCATCTAGCGAATGCCATGTCTCTTTCTTTCCCATCCCAGTTCAAACTACTAAAAACAAAAAAGTCTACATTCAAATTTTTCTTCTTTGTCTCATCCCCCATATTAATCTTACTGCAGGTTATCTTCTGCTGTGAAAACACAAATCATTATTTTTGTACTGTTAAAAAATCAATAAACAGGCCTGCAGGCAGCTGGATCCCACATGGCCAACTCTACAGATCAAATCCTAGACCCAGCAGCTTGAAAAGTATGCCAGGCACATGGGTATGCCCAAAATCTCTAGAGGAAAATGGAGGAGAAGGGATTGTGGCATGGCCATTTCCACTGAGGGTGATTTCTCATTCATTCTCTCTCTCTTTCTCTTCTCTCTCTCTCGCTCGCTCTCTCTCTCTCTCTCTCTTCCCCCAACCCCAATGAGGACATATGCTCTATAGCAAAAAAATACAAACAAAAAATTAATGACACATTTCAATGACCACATTCAGTCTGTGGGCCAGTAATTTCTTTTTAAAATTCCTTTTCCTTCTGTTTAAGAACACCAGCTATTTCTGTATTTCCACTTACCTCTTTGAACTACCCTTTGAGTTTTCTTTGGTATTTTTACTACTATCTATCCCTTCAGTGTCTGAGTTCCTTGGGGATTTTCTTTAGTTCCCATTGTCTTTTGACTTATGCTGTGAGCATTTACCTTGAAAAAATTATGTATACTCTTGATAGTACTAAATCACCAATTACATAGTGAATGAGAGACTGAGCTTGGAGTGGGGAAAAAAATAGTTTCTAATCTTCATGTGCCTTTGGGTGAATTATTTAACTTCATGAAGACTAACCTTTCCCATCTGTTAAGTAAACAAAACATCAGCCCTAAATACCTATCATGAAAAATGTGCAATAGTTATCAGTAGTTAATAATGTGGATTCTTGGAGGTGGCAGGTGGCATGATGGTTAAGGGCACTGGACTCCCTCATGGCTGACTGCGCTCTCGGACCTGGTGGCTTGCTTTCTCACTTTCCCTTTCTCTCTTTCTCTCTCTCTCTCTCTCTCTCTCTCTGTTCCTCTCTGGTAAAATTAAAATAAAACAAATAAATAAAGATAAAATAATTCTTTAACAAAAAAATAATGTGGACTCTTGAATTAATGAGACAGTTAATGACACAAAACAGTTTCATCACTTACTGTAGTCTTGGACAAATTGTATCAGTTTCCTCATTTATACAATGAGGATGATAACACTGTACACGTCATAGGATGAAATAATACTATCTAGATCATAAGACCAAAAATATCCTTGTAGTAAAAAGGATCCTGAAAACAGTCTCACCAGATTATACTACTAAGAAATCAATATCTAGAAAGGTGTGGGAAGGAGATGAAGCACAAAAACTTTAGAATTTAATTTGTTTCTACGTTTGACCTCCAGAGGGCAATGTTGCGTAGGGCGGAAAGTCGGCTGATAAAATTTCTGTCACTCTATGAGCTGCTTTACCTCACTGCTCACTGAGGTGCTCATTCCAAGTAGAATCAATACCAGAGCAATCATTGCCAAGGCAGTATCTCTTGCTAAAAGTCTCTGGTCTTTTTCTACACAAGGAACTACGGAGTCCTAGATCTCCTGCATCTCAAAGACTCAGCATATGCTGATATTCTTTGCTGCTCAGGGAGAATATATCTGCAGTTTTCTCACTGTCCTTGTCATGCCCTGGCTGACCATTCTACTACTTGGAATGCTCCTCACACTGAGTAAGTACTATGGTATTTCTTGCTCCTGCCTCTACAGAAGGAACACCTTTCCAAGTGGAATTTGAGTAGATACACCATCTCATTACAGGTAGGTCGTAGGTCTAGCCTAATCTCACTGACGCATTGATGTTTCAGGAGGAACTGGAGCCCAGTCAGTGACCCAGCCTGATAGCCATGTCTCTGTCTCTGAAGAATCTCGATTGGAGCTCAAGTGCACTTATTCCTACAGTGGAGCTCCTTTTCTCTTCTGGTATGTCCAATACCCTGGCCAAAGCCTCCAGTTTCTCCTCAAGGACACAACAGAGGCCCACCTGGTTAAAGGCATCAAAGGTTTTGAGGCTGAATTGAGGAAGAATGAAACCTCCTTCTACCTGAGGAAACCATCAGCCCACTGGAGTGACTCAGCTCAGTATTTCTGTGCTCTGAGTGACACAGTGCCTAGAACTACAGAGGGAACTGAACACAAACCTCCTGAGACACTGGAGTTTTCAGAGACTCAAAGGCACAGCCTAATCTGTTTATAGCAAGGTCTCTGATGTGGTGAAAGTGAGGAGGTTGGAGGAGCAAAGCCATGAGGAATTCTTGGCTTTCATCATGTTCCTTCTTTTACTACCAGGTCAAGTTTGACAAGATCTAGAACAGAGACTTGTAGGGATGCTCTCCTTCTACTTGAATACACTGCATTCAGAGAGTCAGGACTCTAACATACTGTGACCAATACAGAATCCCTGATCTTTCCCCCTCTCATCTCCAGCATGCTCCTTTTACCACCTTTTGTTTTTCAATAATAGCCACTCCATTCAGTACCTCTGGCCTAACCTCAAAGTTATCTTTGACTCTTTTGTTTGTTTGTTTGTTTGTTTTCACTGTTCACATCTAATCCATGAAGAATTCTAGTTGGTCTTACCTTAAAAATTGACCTATAACCTAATCACTGCCACCATCTCTATGACCTCCCTGGTTATGCCACACTCACCTCTCAAACTGACTATTGTGATAGGCCTCTAAATAGTCTTCCTGTCAATCAAACACACCAGGCACAGATATGTGTACCTGAAATCTTAGCTGATTGAGAGGCTGGGGCAGGAGAGTTGTGACACAGTGAGAAACGGTCAAAAATACCTCTCTGTGTATATCTTCCTATCACTCTTCCTCCCTCTCCCTATTTCTTTCATAAGGGAACACACAATGTTCATGATGTTGTCTTCACATTATTTTCTTAATTATGACACCAAAATCACAGGAAATAAAAGCAAAATAGAAAAGTTGAGATGGCATCTAACTAAAAAGCTTCTGCACAACAAAGAAGCAGTTTATGGAATGGGAAGAATAGTTGCAACCCATGTATGTGTTAAGAAGATAATAGTCAAGGGAACCAACAGTTAGCATAATGGCTATGTCACTGGACTCCCACGTAGTCGACCGCTGTTCGCGTCCTGGACCTGGTGGCTTAAAACTCACGCCGGGCGTGTGTGCGTGCGTGCCCAAGATCCCGAGAGGAGAACGGAGGAGAAGGGATTGCAGCATGGCCATCCCCCCTGGGGGGTGATTTCTCGCTTTCTGTCTCTCTGGCGAGCGCACGTGCCCTATAGCGAAAACCTGTCAAAAAAAAAAAAGGAGATAATAGTCAAAATATATAAGGAATTTTGATAGCTCAGTAGCAAAAAACACCCCAAATAATCTGATTATATAACATAGACAAAGAATCTGAGTTTCTTGAAAAAAGACATACAGGTACATATATGAAAAGACATTCAATATCATTAATACTCAGGGAAATGCAAATGAATGAATGAATACTAAGATGACTGTTATAAAAAGAAAAAGATAAAAAATGTTGATAAGGCTGTGGCAAAATTGGAGCCTTTCTAAACTTTTGTTGGTAATGTAAAATGGTGCAGCTGCTATAGAAAACAGTATGAAGAGTCTTCAAAAAATTAAAAATAGAACTACCGTATGATGTAGCAATCCAGCTTTGGGGTATATATCCAAAAGAATTGAAATCAAGTTCTCAGATCGATGATTCCCTTGTTTATTCAGTATTATTCACAATAATTTTCTCTTAACTTATTCAAAATACATATGACTGTTGAAATTAATTGTTAGAACATTGCCTATGTAGCATTCAAAATGTAAAGATGGAAGACATCAGATAACTCTAACATAAAGTATGAAAAAGTAACCTTCACAACTGTAAGATTCCATAACTTTTTTGAAGCAGAGAAATAGATCTAAGTAGCCTGAAAGGCTTGAGAGTAGGCATAATGTAATCTTTAGAAAAACCACTAAAAATACAATACAGAAAGAAAAATTTGGCCAGCCACAGTGGCACAGAAGTGATGCAATGCTCTGCAATGGTGTGGGGGTGAGGACCTACGTTTTCTCAGAAGGTTTCCCTGTGTTTGTGAGATACATATGAGTGTGCCAGTGATTCTAGCTGGCTGAGGCTGGGGTGGATCACAGTTTGGGGACCCTGTTAGAGTGTCTCTTTCTCTCCTTTCTGTCTCTCATGAAAAAAATAAAAACAAAGAAAAATAGATGAAATAAATAAACTTAAAGAGGAGAAATAGTCCAAAATTAAACTGATTAATTACATGAGGATATTGAAGAACAAAATAAATAGGGCATAAACAGAAAATGAATGATCAAATCATAGACCTAAATATAACCATGTCTATATGTAATTAGCCTAATTAATGTAAAGACAGATCGTCAATATGGATTTTTTTAGAAGACTCATATATATGCTGTCTACATGAAACCCACTTTTAATCTTTTGACATAGATTAAAGTAAAATGATGAAAATTGTATCAATGAAGACACTAATTTAAAGAAATCTGGAAGATCTACATTAATATCAGGAAAAAATAGATTTACAAAAGGAAATATAGGGGACAGCAAGTGGTGTGGTGGTTAAGGTGCTGGACTCCTAAATGGCTGATTGCACTTCAAGTCCTAGACCTGGTGGCTTGCTTTCTCTCTCTCTCTCTGTCTCTTTTTGGTCAGATTAAAACAGTAATTATTATAACTAAAATTAAATAAGTAATTCTAAAAAAGGAACTATAGAAATAGAGGATTACATATGTGTAAAATAATTAACTCATTAAGACATGACAATGTTAAATATGTATGCACCTAACAAAAGAACTTCAAAATAATTGAAGCTAAAACTATAAGAACTTAATGAAAAATAGACAAAATCGGGCCTCTGCTGCAAGGCTGGGGCTCTGCTCCACGTTCCGCAGCCCGGGCCGCCCGGCCCCTGCTGCCTCTCCGGCGCTGGGTGTGTCCCACGCTCGGCGCCGACGCAGGCCGGCAGTACGGACCAGCCGGG